CAATATATCTAAGCTCATCTGCAGGCATTCACCAACACAAATATGACAAAATGATCCATGAAAAACATTTTTACCTATACATGAAGTCAGACTTTGCATTTCTTTGTTTTTTTTTAACCTTTGATTTATGCATTCACAGCATTTAGCAGCTTTATATTTTCAAGTCCATAACCAAAGTGAGGTCATAGCCCTTTTCTTTTTTATCTCTTATTTTATGTAAAACTCCACCTAAACTACACCATAACAAGACACTCCTGAAACAAGAGATAATTAAAAAATAAATAACTCTTCATTGGTTTCTGGTAAAATACTTAAATTTAAATATTAAACTAGTATTTCCTGAAGCATCCCAAAGTCTTAAGCAAATATTTCACATTAACTGTTGTTGCTCAGAGCAGTGTTTTTCAATCCCACACTGCCCTRCATGTTTTAGAGGTTTCCCTTTGACACACCTGATTCAGATGACTGCAGTTCAACAAAAGCCTGTTAATCAGTTATCAGTTGAAATCAGCTGTGTTGAAGCAGGGGAACATCTAAAACATGCAGAGCAGTGTGCCTTAAGGACCAGGGTTGAAAAACACTGGCTCAGAGTATATAATGGGGATGCCTCTCTGCCACTACCACACCAGATTTTAGCTCAATATGTGTAAAACTCACTAAATCGTAGCCATTTTTTGTGTTGGTTACGCTGAATTCGCTGTGGGGTCTATGTGGAATTGAGTTCGCTCTATGATAATAGTGAAARCAAACACAGCTTCACTCCCCACTTGAATTCACTTCCTCGTGATTCTCTGCRTGAGGATCAACCCAACTGGATGATGTCACCAGGCTGCTGGCTGACCTCATGAAATGAAGACTCAATCTCTCAAAAGAACTGATCTAAATACCTAATAATCAAAACAATGAACCGCATGCAAAAGGAGATAGAAAAATGACAACTTGGGCTTCTGGTTGWAGCTGCAGCAGTTGTCTTGTTGGGTGGGACACTGGTGTTTCATCATCRCGCTCTCTGCATTGGCTTTCTGCGATTAGTTTATATTAATGTTATGTTTTTTGGGGGGTTTCTTTTTGGCTTTTTAACAAAGAAAAAGGCAGCAAGCTGAGTGAAAATTATTGAGCCAATTTCCAATGATGAATCATCAAATTTGCACGGAAAAAAAGAACGTGAGTAAAAGTGTTGACAGTTTGTTTTAAAAACACATTAACAAGATTAGTTTCATTGTGTCAGCAAATATTGCAGCCAAGCTGTTTTTATGATTTTGTTGAATAAAGCAAGTAAGTTAGCAGTGACATCATTTGTTTTGCTAATTTGAACTTTTAGCACCGCGGGCAGCCTCGTGGGTTAGTACTTAGCAATGATGCCTCACAGCAGGAAGGTCCTGGGTTTAAGTCCTGGGTTGGACCTGGGGTCTTTCTGTGTGGAGTTTACGTTATTCTTGTGTTTGTGTGGGCTTTCTCTGGTTTYCTCCAAAGTCTAAAAACATCCATGTTAGGTGGCCTTCAGGCCTCCCTGATAGAATAGAAACAGCCTTTATTGTCCCGCGTGGGGAAATTCCGGTATGATGATGATGACGCGATTCGTTGCCTGGTCACATAAAGGTTAATAATAAATAAATGAAATGCTTGCTATTAAGTAAAACAGGGGTCTGCAACCTTTATACCAATTATTCCCCTTGGCTTACTAATAAAATGTGTCCAGAGCCCCAAAACATACCACAACAATGATTATCAACTGGTGGCCCATGGCCACTTTGAGTTTGTTGAAGTGCTGGTTTCTGGCCAGTGCAGGTGACATACTGTAATATCTAAATATATACAGTGAATTTGAACACTTAATATTATTTTTGCATTTTAGGATTAGAAAAGACCATATTCGTGTAAGCAAGAAAAAAAAATATCAAACTTAATTTAATAAACTGTTTTCTAATTAATTCATTTTTTTCACCAACTTGTTTTACAGGTATTCAAAATAATTCCTGATAGATTTATGTTAGAAAAGTTAATTATCAAGACACAAGGAATGACGAACAAGCAGCAAATCCAGGTGCGGTTCTAGGGGTGGGGCCACTGGGGCATTGGCCCCTGCTGAAATCTGATTGGCCCCCTGAAGTGCCCCTGTCCTGTCACTCATCTGTCCTTTAGTTCCATGCCCAAACACTAGAGGCGCTAATGAGTCAAACAGTAAAGTCCAGCATGAATCAARCTTACAGAAGTCTTCTTCTCTTCTTTGAAAGACTTGAACAATTTTGCAAAAAAATATCTTTCAACTGGCAAACAATGGCTTCTTATTCTCACATGCTTTGACAATATTTTATCCATGTACAGTAAACATGCATTACGTTACAATTGTTTGAACATATGTGACCGGTTAAATTTATTTAWTTATTAATTTATTCATTGTTTGAATTTATGCTTGAGGAAAAAGGGGCAGATGTTATAAGATTTTTTTCTTCTCTCTGCTGCCTTTCATTTAATTTTATTTGTATTTTCTTTTTTATTGTACATAGAATTACTTTTTTTAAAGAAATGAATAAAGTTTGAAAAAAAATAAATCTAAATTTATACACCTTACCAAAACCAGGGATTTATGTGCAAGGATGTTGAACAAATACTTGGCCCCTCTATGAACATTGTGGCCCCTTGATGGCCCTTTACTCAGAAAAATCCAAGATTCGCCACTGAGCAAATCTGGTTACTGAGCTCTCTTTTTACTTGCTGCAAAGAATCCATACACAGACATGGTACAATACATACGACGTCACAAGCATGAACTGAATTTCTGTACAACAGTCAGGTTTTTAAAGAGTCCCCTTCAAAGGGGGCTGAGTGTCCTCCTCCTCCTGTTGTATGACCATGCAATCTCCTGTTCTCCCCAGGCCCTCCAGTTCCTTTACYCTGACCCACCTGTCTAATAGCGGGTCGTAAAGGTAACTAAACTCTACAATCTAAGTTAGCAGTTTGGGAAGTTAAAGATAAACATCTGTGGCTTTACTCTAACAGCATAACTGAATACAAGCRATAAAGAGGTCATGTAAAAACAAAATGCAGATTTCACTTGTTTTAGTTTTGAACATATATTTGTGAACTAATGGACAAAAGCACGTTCTGGTGTKGGTATAAAAGACAACTACAACAAAATCAATCTCATGTTAGTTTGAGTCAAAGCTTCAAAGAGCTACTGCAGAGGGACCAAACACCTGCATAGAACCACAGGTTGCAGACCCCTGAACTAATCGAACATCTGAAAAGCCTCTGTTGTATTTATTTCAAAAATTATTCTGATGATTTACTTATGAAGCCATAATAAATCACTATTGGGTTTAGACTTTAACATTAAGAATCAAACACAGAAAGAAAAATGACTTTTAGTTCAGCAGAACGTCTCTTCTCAGTCCATTTGTTTCCATGTCAGCCCATGATCAGGATAACAGAATGTACTAAGCAGAATCTGATGATCAGTTTCTCATTGGTGGTCTTCTGTGTGTGTTTGTGTGACAGATTCACATAGAGGGTGTGTGGCCAAGCTTTCCTTCTCCTGCCCTCTGAAGGGCTTCTACTGCCTGTATGCCAAGTCCTGCTTCAACCTGACGAGCCAACAACCTCACCTTTGGATTCACGTCATGCTGCTGCATTTACAGGTGCATCCAAATACCCAGCTGTGAAACACCTAAAACTGCTGTAAAACCATTGAACGAGGCATGGGAATGCTTTATTTTAGCCCATATAAACCATAATTAAGTCTTAATAAGATGCTGCTTCATGAACATTAAAAATACCACATCTGAAGTCCAGTGATTTCACTTGGAAAGCATTTTTAAATATGTTAATTCTAAAAAAAAGTGGGGGAATAAGTAGCTCAGCAGTTTTTGAAGAATGCAGAAAGTGCTTCAGTCTGTTGTAAATGAGACCAGATTAAATGGAAAAATAACTACAGTAAGTGTTTGTGTGAAATGTTCCACAGCATGCAGCCAGAAGAGCTTCAACGGTTTCTTTTATTGATCCTCAAATTCTCAGCATCTCTGCTGGGGGTGGGGGGATCATGATCACTTCCAAGAATGTTGCCTCATTTGCTGTCGGCTTGGTGGTAAAAGGGAGAGCAGCTGTGTTTGACACGTTGGTCCCTGCGGCATGTCTCRTTGTTAAACTTTAGTTTTTAGGATGGCTTTATTGCCGGTGTAAATAATGTTGGTGGGTCGCTTATCTCCATTTACCTCCATCAGATGAGCTGAAAGGAGTATTTTGGATTATGTCTTTGCTGTTTGGGACAAAATGTTCTGTCCTTTATACTGATGCGTTAAAAATCATTTAAGGAAAAACAGTCTTGATGCACTGATCTCTACGACCACTTCTTTCATCACAGCCACAAACATTTTACTGGGATTTTATCTGATATACCACATGTGTCAAACTCAGGGCCCACGGGCCAAATCTGGCCCTCATTACTATTTGATCCTTTTTGGGTTACTTCCAAAAAGGAAATCAAACCATTTCTTAAGAACTGTGTCATGCTTGGCATCTGAAAATATATTTCCTCAAAGGCAATTTTTAATCTGAAAAGGACTGGACTGAGAAGCATTACGAGCTCAGCAGATGCGGTTTCACCTGTTCTTTGCTAGTTGTGGCTGCTGATAGCCTGCAGGAGTCTGCAGGGAGGCGTGCTCTGTGATGCAGAGACAGCCCAGAGGAGGAGCTGCTCCTAAAAGGCAGTTTTATGGCCAACCAGACTTTTTTTTTCTCCTGCCTGCCTGCCTCAGGACAGCACAGGATTTCTCAAACATGCATGAATGAATCAAAGCAACGGTCTGTGTATGTTTTTGATGAGGGGATAACGTTATAACATGATATAAAACTCAAAAAAGTTGATTTTACATGATATTGCCCCTTTAAGATAAAATAAAAAGTTGTCCTAAATGTTCCATAAAACAATTTGGAAAATGTCATTTGTATTTCTATAAGAATAATTTGTCATATAACATTTCTTCAATAAATATTGACAGAAACTGGCCCTTGGCTTGGACCAAGTTTTGAATTTTGGCCAATTGTTGTAACTGAGTTTGACCCACCTGTGATAGACAAACACAAATTACTGCATATTGTGAAGCAGAATGAAAATGATTCTTGGTTTTTAAAGAGTTTCATCACATTTTTTTACCCCCAATTTACCTTTAATTGAAATCAATTTGTTTTGTTTTCCTCCATTTTTTTTATTTCTTTCTCTTAACCAGAGTAAGTCCAGTGTTCCTCTGTCCACCAGAGACAAGTGTGTCCAAAGACTGTCTTCACTTTGGGAGAAGACACAGCTGAAAGGATCTCACAGCTTTTCCATGGCCATGACTCAGCACACCACCCCACAGAGGAAGGTAACGCGCGTGTGTGTGCGTGTGTGCGTGTGTGTGTGTGTGTGTGTGTGTGTGTGTGTGTGT